CATACACATACACACTGACACTCTCTCTCTCTCTTTCTCTCTCTCTCTCTGTCTCTCTCTCTCATTCTGTCTCTCTCTTTCTCTCTATCCCCTCTCTCTTCCTCTCTTACCCCTCTCTCGTCCTCGTCACCATCCTTCCCTCTTTCTTTGAAAAGCCTCTTTGGTGTTATGGTTTACCTTGAGCTTGGTTCCTGCGGGGCTAATATTTTCTTTTCACCTTCTAGCTTCTTCTTTCTTCTGATTCTCTGACAGTGTCAATCCTGACAAAGAAGGTCGAAGTGGCCCATCTCCCAAACGCCAAAGCAATCTTATTCGTGTCGAAGGTCGTGGAAAACACTAAAAAGAACACACTTTGATTTTCCTTTCTCTTTTAACTCGCTATTAATCATTCAATTGCATCATTTGGGGTTAAAAATAGAACATTCTCTCATTTCAGGTCCTGATTCTCGAAAGTGTCAACGCGCTCTATTTTTTTAACGAGTCCACGAGCTGCTATATTGAGGTAGAAATGCTCGCACTTAATTGACGTGCATTTTAATCTTTTATAGCTCCTGTCAACTTAATTGTTATCTCTTTATAGCCTCGTCTCGGTGGATGTACGGGAAAAGAAAGGGAAAAAAGAAGTTAATTTGTCTTCTCGAATGTGACGTTCCCTCTTGCTATGAAGATAATAGGCCTAGAGAAATGTGAGACTAAAACGAAGAAGCTAATTTATTTGAGCCAAACTATTAATTACAAATGTATCTGATAAATTACAAGTAGAGAAATCCAAACTTAATTTTATTTAAACTAATGCCTTTTTATGGTATATTGATTTACAAAGAAAAAAAATGTAGATTACTTTACTTGGTTTTAGTATGGTCTGTTTCGTGATGGTTTTAAGATTAGACATCTTTCGTGGTATTAAATTCAAGGTGCGAGTACAACGTCGTAGGCCTACTTACAGCGGATTAATGACTTTCGACTAAGGGGATCAAGGGCTGGAGAAGGGCCTCATTTCAAAGATGAGAAACACCAAAGCGTCTCATATAGCTTCTCCCAGTCAAGCCAACCGCACCTACCCGTGGTGAGCCCTGTTTGCACTGACGTGGCTCTGGCAAATGGCGAATCGTTGGCACCAATGAACCAACCCCCCTTTGCCTGGAGGGATAAAAACAACAAGCTGGGAGTAGGTGTGACCCCACAAGGTGCGAAGGGCAGAACCCACCGGCCTGTGAAAGACGGTATGCCTACCAACACACTTTCACTCTCCCTTGAGTGAGTGACCTCCTCTACTACCCTCACTTATTTCTTCTACACAGTCCCTGTGGTTGGCTTGTGCTCTACCTCTGGTCAGGTGCATCTCCATGGATCCTTCTGGTCCTCTCAAAGATGAACACACAACTGGATGGGATGGGCCTTGGAGACATGACATGCCCAAACATAGACGTATACGCACCGACACAAAGGATCCAGGACGTGACAAGCCGCTCGTCTGTGTGATTTTGGATCAACAACGCTGCCAGGGTCAGACCACATTAAGTTGACCCTCCACAGCTCGCCAGGAGACAGTGGTGGCAGGGAATGGACCACAGTGGATCGTCCCTTGTCCACATGGAAAATGGAAGTCATTCTCTTCTCAGGGCGTTGCCCCACTTCTGTGAGAGGCAAAACTTGTCGCTCTGGAATCTCAATGCCAGATGCACTGGACTGCTGGTAGACCACAGACCTAAATGGGAAGAAAAGCCACAGGCTCCCCAGCAAATAAGAAAAGTTCATCCGAGCTCGGGCGACGCCTCGTTTATCAAGGTCCGAGCAGTGCAGTGTCCATTCATGCTGCTGGCGAAAAGTTGAATACCGAGAAAACAGAACGTTTACGGCCTCGTAAAGAAGAAAATGGAAATCTCCCATCTTTTGGACTCAAGAAAAATCCACGTTGCCCTATTACAATATACTATTCACCGTAACACAGACCCCTATATCCCAGGTTACACCCATTATACCTGCACATGCCCTGACTGCCAGGGTGTAATCATCTACACCAGAAATGGCATACAAGGAAAAGTTGAGAATATCACAAATAACACAAGAACAGACACCCCAAAAGCTACAATTTGGTATGCAAGCTGCAAGTTTACAATCTTTAACATTTACAGCCCCCCAGGAAATGACAGATTTTTTCCATTTCTTGAAAAATCTGTACACACCAAAACAATAATTGCAGGTGACTTTAATGGCCACTCTCCTCAGTGGGGATACAGAATATTATACAACAAAAGCGGAATGGCCATAGAGGAACTCTGTGGCATAACAAACCTCCTTGTTCTACAAGACAAAAAATCTACCCTTACCCTTTCACATATGACTCACAACACCAAAAGGAAAAAAACCCACTCCACAATATGGTTAAGACGTGCCAAAGACGTACCTGCTCTCTGAACTTCCTGTTGAGTGATATGATGATGATGGGGTTGATAACGCAGCAAAGAAAGGACAGCCACACAATCGCCGTGACGACAGCTGGGGGCAAGGAACGAGAACTCTGCTGGTGCACAATGTTCGTGACCGTCACAGGCAAACAGAAGAGCGCATAGCCACACGTCACAATGAACAAAGATCTCATAGCGCGAGACGTGTTCCTATTGAAAGCTCGAGGTCCTGAAACAATTCCCGGGATAATGTCCCCCGGAGCCACTTCCACAGGAAGGGGGATAACTGTGAATATTCTGTGATGTGATTTGATCTCTCTGATGATTTGCAATATGGAGAGGATGATAACTACTGCTGGAATGTAGCTACAAATTATTTCTTTCGTGATATGCTGGCGCTCACCAATATTCCTGACTAAGATACATAGGTAGTAAGTTGCCACATATTTGTAAGACCCCCAAGTGCCAAGAGGCAAAGATGCAACTATCACACTCTGCAACCAAATACAGCTTAAAACAGCCGTAGCCGATTTTATAGTCAACATATGCGGGTACTTTAATGGTCGACTTATTGCAATACACCTGTCAACACACACAGCCATTAAACTATAAGTACTTGAAGTACGACCAATCAAATGGAAGCTTCCAGTGACCCGGCACGTCGTCAAAGTAAATAACCAATCATGGGCGATGACACTGGCTGCTGCAAACGGGATGCCGAATATACCAATCAGCATCTCACCTATGGCAAGAGAACCAATGAAAATGTTCGTAGGCGTCTGGTGCGCTCTACTTTTGACGATGACGCAGAGGAGAAGCATGTTGCAGCCGACGGTCAAGACGGCGATCAGGGCGGCGCTGAAGGAGAGAAGGACGTCCCAGTCACCAATGGCCGGGCGGACGTAGAGATCTGAGCTGTTTGTCGACATAGCATGCTGCTGCTTGCTAGATGACGTCTGGGAAAATTGGTTGTTATTTTTGCTGACTGTGCTAATGCTGTTGCACTTGTTGCTGTCCTTGTTGTTGTTGTTGTTGTTGTTGTTGTTGTTGTTGTTTTTGTTGTTGTTGTTGCTGTTACTGTTGTTGTTGTTGTTGTTGTTGTTGCTGTTGTTGTTGTTGTTGTTATTCTTGCTGTTGATATTGCTGTTGCTGTTGTTGTTGTTGGTGGTGTTGTTGTTCTTGTTGCTGCTGCTGCTGCTGCTGTTGTTGTTGTTTTACTAACAGTTGTCTAGTGTTAACTGTTGCTCAAGTTGATAATGACGATGACGGTTATGCCAATGTTGTGGTCAAAACAATTAACACAAAGCAAGACACCAAATAGACAGTTTTAAGCTTGGAACACGTCGTCCTGTACCCGGGCTCACTGTGATCTTGTGGTTATCACCCTGCCGATACAAAAGATAATGATAGACTGTTAGACGCTGAAAGAAGTTGACTGACGTTACGTTAAAGATTTGCATCACTTTAGAATGTCAGCAGAGCACACAAACGTAGATTACAATTGTAGGTAAACAATGATGATGATGATGATGATGATGATGGTGATGATGATGATGATGAGGATGATGATGATGATGATGATGATGGTAA